TACAAGTTTCTCTTTTTTTTTTTTTTTTTTGGGATAAACTGATCAAGAAGTTGCACTATTTATATTCCTAAAAGGTACTTCATAATAATCATGATAATAATAACTGCTGTTATTATTATAAATAACATTATATAATAATAATAATAATAATAAGAGGTAGTATTAATTATTATTTATTATATATAAGCTAAAATACAAAATAATATAAAAATAATAAAAATGTCAAATAAGTTACTGTATGTTTCAGTTTGATCTGAAAGTCACTTCATAATAATACGATTATTATTATTATATATATTATATTATTATATTAATAATAACAGTTTTTATATTATATATATAGTATTATACCTAATAATTACTATTATTATTTTTAGTTTATAAAAACAAATTAATATAAAAATAAAATAATATAAAAACAATAAAAATGTAAAATAAACTAGTTACTGTATAGTTCATCATCATCATCATAATAATAGCATTATATTAATGTATAAAAATAATACGAAATATTACATAATACTAGTTATAGTTGCTATAACTACTATATTTATAGTAGACTATATATAATATATAATTTGAAATATAGTAAATATACTAGCTATAAATATACTATATAATAATTTGTTATGAAATATAATAACAGTAATTTATCATATTGAAATTAATATAAAAATAATACAAATATGATAAAAAACACTAGTTATAAATTATATTAAAATAAATAAATACACACATACATACAACGAAAGTAAGACAATGCAGAAAAGACAACGCAGACCAACATCTGAAAGGTAATGAAGCAGCAACGTGCAGACTGAGGTTTAAATACACGTCATGCAGTTTAAAGACATAAATGCTGCAAGAAAGCTCATCAAGAACGATTATAAACAAAAGAGTGTGTGGGAAGGATCCCGTTGGTTAGATGATGTGCCTTTTCTCATTAAATATATGGAGAGAGTATCTTCAAATTCTCACTGATGTGTCCAACCAACAGCCCTCATGATGCAGAGAGACGAAGAAGTTAAGACGAACGAGAAACCAGGAGACTTTAGAGTGGAAGAGTGGAAGATCTGAGAGTTAAAAGCCTTGGGAAACATCTATGTGAGTCTAAAGGATCGGTCGGAGCAGATTTCTTTCTTTACCTGAGTACGGTGGTCTAGGAGGGACAGGGGGACACTTTCCATTAAAATCAGAGAGCGGCATGTCTAGACTCCAGCTACTTGGTGCGGGCTTCACCACTTTCACACACAAAACATGCATTTCAGGTACATATATAGGAAATATATCAAACGAAGAAAGAAAAATGTGATTTTTTTTTTGGATCGTTAACATATATTTTCCATTTAATGTCTTATATGGAAAAAATATCCCAAAAATATTCAATATTCAAACCCCCCCCCTTAAATAAAGATGACGAAATCTCCTCAACATCTTCCTGTCAATCAGAGTAAGCGCGAGTTTGTTGGTGCACCTCTTTGGTGGTTCAGTCACAGCTGTCACAACACACAGGAGTGGCGAGCTGTTGGCTAGCATCAGATCCAGAGCGCTAATCGCCAGACCCCCGTCACTTCAGACCACCCTCCTCACAGCTGGGTGGCAGACTGAAGATTCATACGCTCACATGCACATGCTCACCTTTGTCGGGGGTGGAGATGTTGGGGTCACTGCGAGGCAAGGAGGCGTTGCCCGCTGGGTGTGGAACCGGCCTCTGTGAAAGAGAGTTATTGTCACATGAATGCAGTTGTGATTTCCGTCAAGGAATCATTCAGTGATTACTAAAGGCTATAGATTAATCGCATCCAAAATAAAAGTTTTTGTTTACATAATATATGTGTGTATACTGTGTATATTTATTATGTATATATAAATACAAACACATGCATGTATGTATTTAAAGGGGTCATATGATGTTGCTAAAAAAGAACATTATTTTGTGTATTTGGTGTAATGAAATGTGTTTACGCGGTTTAAGGTTAAAAAAAAAACCATTACTTTCTACATACTGTACATTATTGTTTCTCCTCTATGCCCCGCCTTTCTGAAATGCGTCGATTTTTACAAAGCTCATCGGTCTGAAAAGCGAGGTGTACACTGATTGGCAAGCTATATCCAGTGCGTTGTGATTGGCCGAATACCTCAAGCGTGTGACAGAAATGTTACGCCCCTTACCATACTGTGATGCCCTGTCCGGCCGGAGCGACGAGACAAAAACATTAAAACCCATTATAAACGAGGCATTTGTTGCATCCAGTGGGGACATAATTACGGATTA